CAGCCAGTTTTGATTGGTTCGTTAATTTTCGTCAACTCCCGCCTTTATTCAAACTGTAATATTCGTGTTATTGTGAAATTTAAACAATACAATTAAAATATAAACGTTTTAAAGATATTAACAAATAGAATTTTTTTAGATTATATCTCTGAATAATGTATATCACAAAAATTAATGGTATTTAATATATTTTCTTTATCAAAATTATTTTGAAACTTCAAATATATAGGGAAAAGGAGTAAGAAAAAGAAAAATTAAATTTTTTTATACTTTTAAAATATATTATAATATATAATAAATTATAAAAAATATAATATATAAATAATGTATAATTAAAAAATTTTTTAAATAAATTGTGCATGGCCATGGACTTACTATCGTACCTTTTATGTTTCATAGTAGTACAATTTCTTTTATTAAAAATTTTTAATCTAAAAACTACGAACCTTTTAATAATTTTAATGTATATTGTGTGACAGTCTAAGATATGATTAGCTTTAATTTTCTTTAATTTTGTAATTAAAAATAATTTTAGATTAATATCTTTCATATTATTAAAGTATTTGGAATAGTGACGAAATATTTGTTCAAATTTTACAAATATTTTAAATGTTTCGACATTGATAAAAAATAAACAATTGTTTGTAAAACGTTTGTATTGTACTAATTTTGTAAATGTATGTGACAATGCAGTTTTTGAGCCTACTGATTGTAAGCAATTATTATATATTTTGCATATTTTTGTAATTGATTGTATGATATATCCAGCAATATTATATAAACTGTTCAATTCTAAACTTGACAACATTGATATTGAATTTTGATTAAAAGGTGGAATTTCGTCACTATTGCTTACATTATTGTTTAAATCACTTTCACATTTGTTTTTCTGTTTTATGATTGACAAATATTCAACAAATCCGGGTAAATTTTCTCTGTCATCATTATCATAACTGCCTATTATTGATACATTTCATATACATTGCAATAGAAACTAATTTTAGGTCATTTGAAAACTGTAGTGGGTGAGGTATTACATTTTTCTGTCTTATTTGAGAAAAAAGATTCTCCATACAATCTTGGGTGAAACGAGAAGTTAAAACAAATTTAAAATTCTTTTTTGTTATAAGATAGTTAGTTCAATTATTGACGTAGTGCTAATTATTATACCTCTTTGTACTGGTTTAAACCCATTACCTATTTTTAATTGTGTAAAAATATTGATAACGTTATTTAAAAAATCAAGACTAGCGTTATATACGTTTTCATTTTTTGTGCCTAATGCTATATTACAACATCTTGATGTCATAAGAGAAAACCACTTAGAAACAATTTGTACAAACCAAGCAGTTGTAATGTACTCCGGTTTATTCTTCTCATCCGCTAACAGTTTAAATGAGCTACTCACATCATGAGAAAAAACATTTCTGGCTTTATTCACTCTCATTTTATTAAAATTGTTGGTACATATATCGTCTATAGTTAACCTAGGCGTTAATAAAAGCTCAGAATTGTTTTGAATACTTATTAATTCACTGAAATGTTCTAATTTTATATGATTTGTAGGTAAATTATATTTAATTACAATATCATCAGAAATAGTTATTACTTCATTATTAATTAACGCTTGTTTAAGATTTTTGAAAATATGTGGTGGGTCAGCAATAATATATAAATAACGATTTGCATCGAATGGATGTATAATACAATTTACTATTTTACTATGTCTACCGGTGCTTATACCTAATAATCTCCACAATGCAGTATTTCCAGATCCCATATCTGATATTATGAAATTTACATGGTAACCTATTTCTTCAGTTTTATTGATTATCTGAAATATAATTTCTTTTAATGTTTTACTATCAAAACTATTGCCTGTGAAATGATAGCCCACCACATGCTTCCAGCGACTACCAATGCTAACCAGCATAAAAACCAGAGCATGCGTAGCAATACCCTTATCGTTAGGAAACGTTATATCACCTATGAACGATCCAGTTGAAGGATTATAAGACTTTTTTGACGTAATGGACATTTCGTCAAATATTAATCCACATTCCAGATCAGTCTCATTTTTAAAAGCAGGTTTCTTATTTTTTAAAAAGTCAAACATTTCTTCTGAAATTCCAGGTTCGAACTTAAAATCTTCTACTTTTCGCCGTAATGTTCGTAGACTCGGAAGTGGAATTCCTTGACGAATAAGTTCTTCATATCCGTTATAGCCACAAACAAATTTTAATTGCAAAGCACGTTCAATTGTCTTATGTGAACATGTTTGAACGCTTTGTTTTTTAGTGAACAAAGCTTTAACTTGACAATCAGTAAAAACTGAATATAAAGCTTTTTTATATTTATCATTATTGTCTTTATGTTTCAATATATGTATAGTAAATCTCAAACTTTTCATTGTTTTTCGCATTCGAATTATGTTTAGTTGTTGTTTTCGAATAATCTCTTCTAATTTCTTATTTCGTTGTTCTTCTTTTTCATTAGATCCAGTGGCATCATTAATTACCTAAAAAATTCATTTTTGAATATTAAACATGTTTAAATACATATATTATCTTCTTAGTTTACTATTTTAATATTAACCTGACATTCCTGCTCTTGAATTTCACTAATACGTTGATCCAATTGAATAGAATCGATACAATGATCTGATTCATTATAATTTGTATTATTATTTATTGTATCTGTTACTACTTGTGTTGTATTATTTTCAGTTTCCACTGGCTTTTTCTTTTTTAGAAAAAATCCAAATATGGTTGGAACTGCATCTGGTTTCAATTTTCGTTTTTTAGCTTTTTCGTCCCACATCTCTGGAGCAAAATGTACCTATATGTGTAAGAAGAAAAAGATTACTTTATTAAACAATTATGATTATTATATAAAAAATAGATAAGACTTTTAAGCAAAAGTTATTAAAATAATTTAATATTTTTGTCATTGCTAAATTTAATATTTCAGATATGCACATAATTCATGATGTAACGATTATATATATTATATATTTTTTATTAATTTTTTTATAATAAATTTAACAAAATCAAGTATTACTTTACCTCGCAGAGATATGAATTGTTCGTTGGCGTCGAATTCATTTGTCCCACATGTTTTGCCCATAAGGCACGACGTTCAGCATTTCTGGGAAATACTTTCATGGTATAACCTTTAGTGGAGGAATTATTACAAAACGGAGCTGCACAACCAACCATTTTTTAATAATTTTGAACACACGTGCTTAATTCCGTCTGATTCCGTCCACCTCGTCAACGTAAAGGTGTAAAGTTAGGTTAGAGACGCGTCAAGACTGAGCTAGAGAGAGAGACACTATCTCTTTCTCTCTCGCGGGATTTTGACGAAACCGAGTCGTGACCAGACTCTTATTATAGGGTCTCTATGGTACACGAAGAACAATAGGAGATTGTAACCCCTGGTTAGTAGTAAGTTAGTTGTGTAAGACACAAGGTATAATACGTTATTATGTCTCCGGTCTTTTCGCACATGCTCGCGATAGCTGGCGACCTCTTGTCAGCTGACGCTCATTGCGCTATCACGCTAGCGGCGCTCGCAACCGTGCGCTGGAGTCAAAAAGCCGGAGCACGAGTTTCGGAAAATAGCTTAGCGAATTACAAGTACGAGTTTCGGAAAATAGCTTAGCGAATAACAAGTACGACCGACACGTTATCGAAGTACGTTCCGCAGTAATACGTTACTTTTATCGATACGTTATAATAGTCTCGAGTCTCTTTGGAGATGTGCTTGCCGTTCCGTCATTGTATCAAATCTACGTTTGATTTATAAGTCGCGCAGTGTAAAGTTGTGTTTAAGAATAAAGTCAGTGATCGTTGAATTTAGAATAACGTGACTGTTTATTCAAAGCCTTTATCACGCTGTATCACGCAGTGACATCCTGATCATAAAACCTGCTTATAGACTAATGAGCATTGAAATCCAAATCGTAAAATAAAATACGAACTAAAAGTAAAATAAAAATCAAGCTGTTAATCTTACAGTTAATATCTTACAGCCTTTTATCTCAGAAGTGGGATACAGCTCGCGTACCGCCCACAAAAGGGGATTAAGAGATTTAGGGATAGCTTATGCAATTCCCATAAACGTGGAGTAAAATTAAGAAATTAATCGACGCCTCTCCTGAGGATCGAGAATTGCCACGTTTAAGTTGGCCGTTAGGTGCTACGACCTTTCAGGTCATCTGTGTTGTTGGCACGCGTACTCGTCGTGTTCGCGACAACCGCGTTTTCAGTCGAGTCATCCGCGGCCGCGACTTCAAAAACAATAAAGGAGAACTTCGTGTTTCTTCGAAGAAGAGGATCTGCGGCAAACAGAAAAATTTGTGAATTACCAGCAAAGATTACTCCGATAATCATGAATAGATCACAATTAGACAAGATGACAATCGAGCAACTTCAAGAAGTAGCTCAGGGGTACAATCTGCCTCTGTGCGAGGATTCCAAAAAGTTGATTGATTCTATCATGACGTACCTGGAACGGAGTTCTCAGGTGACGCCAAGGAACATCGCGGGTTCCACGAGTGATGGGACATTACCAGGACCATCATCGGCTAGGCAACAGCCCTCTGGAGCAACTACCGTACAGACCTGGCAAGTCTCTTCGGACGTAGCGTCATTGATTGCTACGGTCGTTAACCCTATGCAACAGATGCATCAGGATATTCTGGAAGGCCAGAAACGACAACAGGAGCTTATGTCCAGGATGCTCGAGTCGCTCTTGAATCACCATGGCACTCTTGCTAACGAGTCATCGGTGGGGCAACCGATGCAACTTATGCAAGAGGCGGTATCGCCCAATAAACGAGGAATATCCCCGTCCTCTCAACGTACTACATTAGGTACGATTACGTCGGCTCACGCAGTCACGCTATTGGCGACGCAGATCCCCACATTTGGAGGATCGGATTCTGAAAATGTGCAATTATGGGTACAAAGGGTGGAACAAGTAGCCCGAATCCATAATGTACAGTCAAGATGTTACCTTGCTAGCTGCATCCAGCAAGTTAACTAAACTGGCGAAGAGATGGTATGACATTGGATCAGGATCCATGCTCGAATCATGGTTAGGCTTCAGGGAAGCGATCTTGAAGAGATTTACTCGCAAAATCCTGTACCATGTAGCCATGCAGAAAATTGAAGTTCGAAAATGGAACAGCTTCAAGGAAACTTTCCTCGAATATGCAATGGACAAATTGACACTGATGCACGATCTCAACCTATCTCCAGATAGTGCTATTCATTTGCTGATCAGTGGAATCAACAGTCGGTCCCTACGAGAGACAGCAGCTGCACTCGACCTGGAATCCGTCGACTCATTCTTAGACTCGATGCATAGAATTACATCGGTCACATTGGAACCGGAAAAGCGGCTCACAACGGATTCAAAGGCCGCAAAGGCAAAAGAGTCCACTTACAGAAGAGGTGGCAAATCAGCTCATCCAGTAACGACATCTCAGAAGGACGAATCGAACACCTGCGGATTCTGCAAGATCCCGGGACACACGTTCGAAAACTGCTTTAAACGACGACGTCAAGAACGGCTTCAGACGATCGCCAAGGCTTCGC